CTCCCTTTCAGGATCTTTTAAGACTTTCATAAGGCCCTCCTCCCCCTCATAAATTCCTCCGGCGCAAAGCCGAGTTTGCTCGGAGGAGCTTCCAGCGTTACGCAACGGAAAGCCACCCCTCACCCTTCTCTCTCTCTTTCTCACCCTCTCTCTATTGGATGCATTTGGAGGAAAAAAAAATTATGTCACGGACGCGGCGAAATTATGTTTCGACTCCTGGCCCCGGGGGACCGTTATCCAATCCCGGGGGACTCTTATCCAATCAACGGGGCTCGGCGTGAGCAATTCCGGCTTTATCTTCGTCTCGAAATGCGGCGTGAACACATCCTCGAGACGATGGAGATGAACAATACAGACGTAACGATCGACGATTCTGGCGGATCGACCATTTAAATCTGATATACGAGATTCGCGCGAATTCATCGACTCGCACGACGCAGCCCCACTTTCATTAGCAATAATGGCAAAATCAGCGGAAGATCTCTTTCGTTAAGTCCTCGTGAATATTATGGTAAATTTAAGAAAAAGTTTTTCAACGATATCGAATTTGTCGCGATCGCAGCAGGGAATGCCATGGAATAAAATATTTTTAATCGAGGAGCTCGAGGAAGCGCCAAGCGTTTTCTTGGATGTACGATGAATAATTTATCACATTACCAAGTTGATACGTACTTAATTAAATATTCAAATTTTTTCAATTTCAATATTTTATACTTCATTTCTATAATTAGGCTCGTATCGCATCATTCTACTCGCTTATTTTCCCGTCAATCGGTTCTCATAATTTTCAAGGATATAAAGGACTTCCCCCAAGGCCATGCGCCTCGGGAGAATTTATTTCGCGTGCTTACGAGAAAGAATTTCGTCGCACGAATTACGCGATAATAGTGAGGTAATGATCGATGAAGGATTTACGGAACCGCGATCCCGATGAAACCAAGGGTCAACCAGAGTAATGCAAGAGGGACACGGGACACGGGGTCCCTCCCCCCACCCCTCTAATTGGGGTAATCGCGGCTGATTGCGCCGATTACAAGCAATGACGAAACGGCAATCGCCGACTACCGGTCGCCACGGAGAGGGTTCGTTCCGGGTGATCACCCGGTGTCAAGGAAAGGTGACGCTCTCGGGTATATCGAATATGTTCTAGATATTTATGATTATAATAATGATGATGATGATGATGATAAAGGGTCGGGTTTGATAGGTGGATGACAGCTTCGATGTTTGCATTTGATCAACAAGGTGGAAAATCGCATTTTCCCTCTTTCAATATCGTGGTCTTCACGCGCAAGGAAAAAGGGAAATTTCGCCGTCACGAGATGACGCGTCCTGACCAGATGAAAAAAGGATCCTTGATGAGGTTTGGCGTGAGGATCACGACGACTGTCAGCGACTTTCGTTCCCGCCCGACACGGAACGGTTCCGATAAGCATCACCCTTTCGGCTCTTTCGGTCCTTTCAACGCCCGTTCTTCGGTCGAGACGAGAAGGAAGCTGCGATGCTCGGGCTTTCACCCGAAAAATGTGGGAAGTTGATCTTTGAACCAACCGCGAGTTCGACGGCGATGGAAAAACGATATATCAGTTTCCCGTCTCTTATCCGTTGCGTTATACTCTGGCCTTGCCTCGCCTGCTATTAACCGTCAGTGGGTGATGCAGTTAGCCGACGTGGTGAGCTTGACACTTGTGAAATCTTGCACACTGCTGCTAAAAGAGCGTCCTTTAAAGCGCAAATCCATGGGAGGGGGGGAAGGGTGAGGTAGTTTATTTCTTTTGTTGGCCAACCTAGAAATCATCGTTTGCTGTTGTTGTACCTGTTACACTTGGTACCATACCGATACGAGGTCTTACGGTAACTCGGTGCATAAATCCAACAATTTCACCGAGAGAGCGGGTAGCTTCGTATCACCTGGTGGGGAGAAGCCCCCGAGGGCTTGAGAGAGAGAGAGAGAGAGAGAGAGAGAGAGCATCTTCAGCGCTGGAAGACGAAGAAGTGAGAGGATGCATAGGGCTGTAGGGCTGGCACGGTCCTTCCCTATAAAAGCCACGACGTCCGTCCCCGAGGACCTCAGTCTCATCCCCACCTCAGTCCCCGTACCCGTAGGCTTTACCCCTTTCCCAGAAGGGTTCTCCTGCTATTCCTTCCAGCCGGCAGCCCCCATCTAGTCAGTCAGGTCAGTCTCGTCTCACAGTTTACGTTACCGGGTGATTGTCGCGTGGTCGTATCGTCCGTCGCGAGTGGTTCCGGTGTTCGCAGTGGAATCGAGGAAGTGCGGGGGAAGTTGCCATCGACACTACCGTCAAATAGCGTGTCCGACACTTCACACAAGTCAAGTCAAGACGAGAACAAAACGCGCGAACACTTTCACTTCACTTTTTTTTATTATTCTCATCTGTAACTACTACCGGTACCGAAAAAAATCCATCATAATGTAACTTCATCCCTCTTCTGGTTGCATAGGTCGCTGTCAGAAGCGAAGAGGGAGTTTCTACACCATTACAATATTTTCAAACCGTATTCCCATCAAGTTCGCTTCCATGAAATTGAATATTTACCATGACAAGTTTTTAATATATAAGCAACTTTCTTTCTTTTTAAAATAAACTTGCCAAGTTATCAAATGAGAAGAACTAAACGTATCAATCAACTTCAGGACTTTCAATCGTGAGTTGCAATACTTTCATTGTCTTGTCCGAAGATTTTATCATGACACATGAACATCTCTTCACACCTCATATCTCGGCAACGATCGCAGAAACGGGGCAAGCATTCCAAATGAGGAGTCAGGGACGATCCAGAGGTCGGGATTACGAAATTGATTTCGGGGCGATTTATTTAAACAAAACAGATAAGATAAGCCTGACGTAATGAACTTGAGACATCGATCACAAGGAGAGGAAGGGGGAACTTTCCTTTTTTTTCCAGGGATGGATGGCTCCCTTGCATAGATCTTTATCGCACAGCTCATTACATAATCTCTCGGATGCCTTAGAGGGGAAGAAGGAGGAAGTAAGAGTAAAAAAAAAAAAGAATAATCCTCTCGGGGGGGCAGATGTAACGAGCCTTGGCTTGTATACAACTAGGCTGGACTTTCACCAGGAGAAAAAGAAGACGAACCCGCCTAATGCCATCCTCCTACGCCATCTTCATCACTGTTTTTACTGCCTTATGATAATGAAACGCATCGGCCATAAATTTCCCCTTCGTTCTTTCCTTAGGGCATAGGGTAACTTGGGGGAATATGGCCCCTCGTAATATATCCTCTGACAGATTATTTGTTTGGGACATTTTTCAAAATAGGTCTATCGAAGAGTACATACGATTGAAATGTGCCCTTTGCAATAATTCAGAGCGCGCAGGAATGCGAGACAAATCAAGATTTAGAAAGTTATATGAATGCGATTGTTCGGCTAAAACGGCCCTCTAACAACTTGAGCGTATGTTTCCTAAAAGTAGCATGGATTCGGAAACCGTTTCTTCAAAATTTTTCTGGTGTCCCTTCAGAATGCTTGAGGAAAGCGCTAGCGCTTTCACTTTCGGATTGCGGGCAGTGTTGTCAACTTCATCATACAAGCCAACGAGGGGGAATATGTTCGCCACCTTGATTTTATGGAAGCGATGCACTGACCTATCGGCAGTGTTAGTTTCCTTTTTTTTTTTAATCAGGGAAGAGATCAGCCTATGCACATCCGCATGTGCAGGTAATTATCCTTCGTGCAAAAACTAAAATGTCATCCTTTGAGTTTATTGTTAATTATGTGTGCACGCAAAAACTGCGTAACATTTTTCCTTTTTTGCTTTTCCTCAATACAGTTAATCCATTTCTCAACTGCTTAGCTTCGCTTGTTGTGCTTCATGTTACTTAGTACGCTCAAGTATATTTCACACGTATCGTAAGCCATATTACCCCAACAATAGGGGTAATATGGCCTCTTGGGATCAACTTGGAAAGGATCCAAACGCGCAGCTTCCATGTTTTTCTTTTGCATGTGCCTTGCTGGAATTGCGTGTAAGAGATATCAAGCAACATTTTCGAGACATTGCCGAAGTGAAATTCGACCTCGACAGGCCGTTAGAGCCAGGTTTCATTTTTTTTAGGGCCATATTCCCCCAAATTACCTTATATTCGGAAAGCCCGTAAAGCATCATGTAATGGTTTTGCATCATCCTCGTTTATTTACTGCTCGTGCCGATGATTTTGCTATTTTCCCTCTGCCTCTCAACATAAGCCTATCCTCATTCCATTAAGCATATTCAGTTAGGCCTGCGACTTTTATTTCATATGGTATCGTATTGCTTCTCCATAGCTCGTACTCGTATTTTTCTTCGTATTTACTTTGCGGCAATTTCGATAAAAACGCGACGATTCGATTCAGAACGCATTGTCTTCTGATAGAAAGTGGTCGTGCTATCGGATTCCTCCTTTCCCATGACCGCCGGTAATCCACACGACCTGCGGGTCACATAATCACCACCCTTGCGGATCCATACAGGTACTTCCCGAACCGTACTCGGAGAAAGGGAAAAATGAGGTGGCTGCAGATAGAAAACTTGTGAAAGGCGTTTCAGCATGACGCAATATTTTAAAACAGAAGCCAACCGGAATGTTCATAAATTTAGTCAGGGCATGGCCCTCGCTGAATATTTGTGATGAGCATGAACAATTACTTCGCTTTGAAATATTCACATTTCAATATTAACGTTCTCCTGAAAATTCAGCTCAACTGCTAAACTGAAATTCACAATTTTTTTCATTATTTTTTTTTAGGACTGTAGAAGATTCTGTCCCGAGAAGTCAACTTAGAATAACTCTGAAATCTCATACATTTAAAGTGTAAAATTATACACGGCTCCAACAGGTACAACATTCTGTTACCAGCAAGGGAATTTTTGGCTTAGAGCCGAAAGAACCTGCGCAGAATCCGGCCGACCTCTCTTAGAAAGTGACAGGAAGAAGTCGCAGAGCACACACGAGTTTGATCACGGAGATGATAAGGAAGGCGTCGTTTGCGTGTTGTCTTTTTTCTCTCTTCCTTTTTGGCAGTAGTCGCCAGTATGTGGGGGTCCCGACCTCACCCAGGGGGTCTCTCTCTCTTTCGAGAAAGTCCCACCTTTCCTTCGCCCCATAGTCTATCCTCTGCCAACTTATTATTCACCGTATAATAGCGTCCCCAGCCCCGACAATTAATCTCTTCCAGGAAAAGTAATTGAAAAAAATCATGACGTAATGTCCTGTGCTCCTCCTCCGACGCGGAACTCTCACTTTTAGGAAGAAAATAGAAGCTCCCGTCCTTGGCAGGAATTGATTATCCCGGAAAACCTACTGGTTTTCGACGCTTATTCCTGATTTTTTTTTTTGCTTCTTTAACTTCCAAGAGAAAGGGAGCCGAGGGTGAGGGTAAGGATCTCATGTGACGTGCTGTGGCTTGGAAATGACCCTAAAGGTCGGGGGAAATTAGCCTTTGATAGACGTTTCCCTCCTGTATACTTTATTTTGGTTTCCCACATTTGGGTTATGCGGAAGTGACATTACTCCGAGCCTCTTCTCGCAGTGCCCCCGGGGCCCCATTTTTTCTTTTTTTTTTTTAAAGACGCAACGGTCTCCTCCTCTCCACTTGTTCATTCATCACGTCATTCTCGGCTCTTTTCACGGATTAGGTTTGCTTCGCTACGAGGCAAACGCCTTTGGAATTCTCGTTGCATTTTCAATCTCGCATCGACGACTCAAACTCAGCTCTTCGCGTTATTAACTTTTACTTTCCACTCGCTCTCGCCATTTTTCAGCAATTCATCAACGTTGTGACCATTTTCCATTCAGGACGAACGCGAAGATGGTCCCGCGATGAGATTAGCTCCCATTCATGCATTGTTGAAAAATGAGGACGGTTTACACAATAACAACGCGCTATTCCACTCGAGCTCCCATAATTAAAGTTAATTCGTCAGGGGCAGCCTGAATTGTGAAAGATTGAACTCTCTTTCTCCGGTTACGACACGTCATCACGCCATAGGCCGGAATTCAAATTCCGGCGACGGCTGAAAGGAGACGAGTGCTATAGGAGACAAGTGTCATAGGAGCCAATGTTGGCGGATTCTCTTCTCTTTCTTTGCACTGGAGTTGCGAAAACCAGACGTCTCGTTACAACACAAGAAAAATAGAGAGGAAGCATGTTCACTCATGTGCATGACCTCGACAGGGATTCTTCTTTCTCTTCTGTTTCCTTTTTTAAAAACTCGCCCAAGGCCCGTATGACTTTTCCCGTGGCCAATGTCAATGGTGCAGAAAACGGGTCGACTGCGAATTTATCCGTTCCAGCCTCGTTATTGTTTCGCGCCGATGTTCCCATTATTACGCGTCCCGATATGCTTCGGAGAACGAGGACCCCAGCGCGAGAGAGTTGCAAGCACTCGCTCGAGTGGAATTGCATTTTTAAAATTTCCTTTACTCATCGCTTAATTATATTCTTTATTCTCAATTAAATATCAGGTGACATATCGCTCGATCAATTATTATTACCATTATTACTATTATTGTATTATTCACGCGAGAAACTATAGCTTTTGCGATCGTCCCCGGTTTCAGACGCCAAAGGTCAGTCTCAACTGCATGGAACAATATTATTTCCATTTTATTATTATTTCCAGTCCGGCAAGGAGCAGAAAGTAGGTCTCGGCGTTAACTGGATTTTGCCGAGAGATAAAACCGTGCCGAGAAGAAAAGATTCTCACGATTGATGATCGATCAGGGATTCAGCGAAGAAGAAACACGGTTGCGTCACCCGTGTCATCACCGGCTTTTTCACGTCTCGTATTATTATTATTATTGTTATTATATCGACATCTCGCTGACTCATCCTTCCACACATGCAGGCTTCATCTTTTCATCCCAGATCAAACACCGTCCCAATCCTTCCGGGTGGAAAAAAGAGTGCAACTTTTACCGGAAGTCCACCGGAAGCGGTACAAGAAAAAAAATGACAAGACAATATGTGGTGTATGGGCTTCTGTGCGATCATCCATCTTCGTCCGGTTTTTATCTTAACCTCTCGGTCACGAATCCTCGTCAGAACAATGTGTACTTATTTCTTAATTTCAGTTTTCTTTTTCCCCATTCAAGAACTGGTCAGGGAGGAACAATGAGAAGTGCCGTGTCATCTCTTCGCGTATTTGCATTCCCTCTTCCTTCTCATATTTTGTGTCACTTCACACGAATGGGGTCTCCCCCCCCCCCCCCCTCCCTCCCCCGGAGTTCGGTCCGACGCTCTCGCACGAGCGCCTTTTAGAAACATTCATGGGACTGGGCATACAGAGCCCCGACTTTCACTTTCTCGGACCATAGAATCTGCGAAAATTATTTATGACTGACAGAAGTCGACGCTTGAGATACCGTCGCAAAGCTCATGCGGCTCTTTTGAATAGGTCTCTTCTCTTTCATTCGTTGGTAACTCACTTCGAAAATGATGAAACATTGATACTCGATCGGAAAACATTAAATCAAAATAATATTATTTGCAAAAATGTATGCTAAATCAAACATGAATTACGCTTATATAAATAGAAAATCTAGATATATAGAGAAATTTATCTCAGAAAGAACTCTCTCCTAGACTAACTTACCATGGGGTCGATACTTACTTGACACCATGACTCATTTGAAGGCTGCCAGATCGAATCGGTATAGATATGCTGATGTAGAAAGTGAATGCGATACGGATACAATATGGTATATGGATCAATAAGGACCTAAACGGGCCGCCCACCCGGGACAGAAAAAGGGAAAGTGTTTTCATACGTGGGTCTATAAAGAGAGTGAGAGATTAGTTCAACCCACACATGGGGATGTGGACAATAGGGTTCTTCTCCGCTGGATGTTGGGGGTGGACTCCTGCCGGCTCCCATTTCATGCTCCCGATCTCGCTCGCTTTTCTGCTTTGTCTTTTTAACTCTGTGGGTCTTTCGAGGCTGCATGGTTTTATGCTCCGTATTTTATTTGTATTTGAATGCTTCTTTATGGTCTGGGTTACATAAGTGGTCCTTGCGTCGATAGAAGCGACTTTCTTGAACAGGTGTTTGAGATTCAACGTTAGGTCTCTCTACATCACGAAAACTCGAATTTATTTTTTCATTTACTTTCATCTGTTCAAGATTCCACTTTTCAATCATACCGTAATAAAAATCGTATTTTAAATCTAGTTGGGCATGCGCGTGGGACACCGAGAATTCATTCATTGCTTTGAGGTGATCGAAGCACCCCCAAAATGACCATCCCTATACCGATGTAATTTGGGCGAATTAACAAGAAACTTTCAACTGGAGAGATGGATCCGACCCCGATTCCATCTTCAGTCCTAGCTCAGTTGCTATACTTTCTCTATAATGATCACGGGTTGGGTCACGATGATCTGCGTTCGTCTACAAATCTGACATTTCCTTTCATTTTGGACTATATCCTTTCAATCAATCGCCGGGGATGCTTCACGAAATCGTGAAGGTTATGGGAAAGTCGTGGCTCACCTTCCCATCGACCCAGTGAACTCCAACGCCATCGAGTCTTGACAATTTCTGACATTTTGAGTGCTTCACCGGAAAATTGCCCCATCCCCAGGGCAGATCGAGAGGGGTGTGGCGGGGGGGACAGGAATGCGAGTGACATTCTCGGTAGTCGAATGACGTAACATTTCCCGCGATTATGAGGGATGATGTTTGAAATTTCACGGACGGATAGTTGCATCACTTCGTATGGGTAGTCAAAAATGGACGTTAGAGTCCCCTTTAAAGGGCACGGGGGTTAATGACGCACCTTGCAACATCCCACCCTCATCATCATCGTCGCCGTCATCATCTCCCTCCATTACAACTTTTGGCAAACACTCAACATTTCGGATTCCATAAATGCAAATGAGAGGTTCTAGGAAAAAGCTTAGAACTGAGGATGGGCTTAGACTTTCTTTCGTTCTCGGCTCCAAAACAATACTTATACGACTTTTTAATTCAAACAGGTGTTCCAACGAGGAGCTATGCGAACCCCTCTCATTCAAATCAAGGGGGTATCAGAGTTATCAGAAGTGGGGGGGGGGGGGCTAAAAAAGGAACACATGTTGTAGCGTCAGACGAATCTTGGACTTACTTAATTCCAAATGCATATACGTTAAGCTACGGTGAATGGTGCTGGTGAGCAGGAGTGCCCTGAAACTACACCGTACCATTACGTCAACTGTTGGCATGACTTTCCAGCCTTAGCATACCATCGAGTTAGTTATCTTAAATATTCTTCAACTTCATTCGCAGCGAACGAGGGTAATTTACGAGGGCTTTTATCCCAAGGATGCGAAATATTATTTTGCAAACAAGTGTACTAGCCCTAGGATCTCATCAGAGATGCCAGGCAGGGTGCATTCAATAGTAAATCACCTTACAGGAATAGGGCGAGACGGACGGTAAATCCAACCGAATATGAAACCCCCTACCTTGACTGCCGATCCGATCGAAGTGGGGGGGTTTCATAATTGACTGAATATATACTAGATACCTGACCGTTCGCTGGTGCCGTGTTTGCATGAGTGACTCTGCAGGCGGGCAGGCGTGCTAGTATCTCATCGAGGTAACTCTCGCTTTCTCGTCTTGTAATGACCATCTGCAGGGAAGCGCTCACCTGGTCTGCCAGACTGGGAAGAAAACACTGCAAGACGGGTGGGATTTTCGAGAAATCATCGAGGGCGTCACGAGAAACTAGACTCATTTGAGGGAAATGATCAGCTTCCAACTTCAATGTACTTGAATAATCGGGAACGCAGTCATTAATCTACGTCAGAATTCCCCCCCCACACTTTCGGGTCATCCGTTAACCGCACAGGTAAGTCCGGAAGAAGCGCCATGAGAGCGGCCAGCAACACGGAAGAAATGTTAGCTGACGTAGCTATGTATCTAGTGAATGATTTGGGCCACATGGAGGCTTCATCAAAATTGATTTCGGAAGCATTACGGGTCAATATCTTTCCATGTTTCAGATGAATCGAAGCGAATTTGATTTACAATAACTTTCTATTCTAGATCGCAACGAATGATTCAGTACCATCACCAGGATTTCCTATCAATGCGATTGGGTTACATAGATAGGGAAGAGGCAGAAAAACCTCTCCGCTGGTCATGGCAATATAGATATTCAGTGGGGGTGAACTTTTTCCCCCTTTTTTTGGCCAATCGCCCAGGCGCCCTCTTGACTCCTGACGAAGTTCCTGGTCCTGCGTCCATATTTCACCATCCATCCATCTACAGGAAGGAAGATTCCCTCCACCCAACGCAGAAGGAATTCTTTTCTTTCACTTTCCCTCTCTGCGACTGACCTTTCCTGAATTTTTTTTCCCTCCCCTCCTATAATCACTTCCTCTCTTCCTCGCTCCTCACGATAATGTGCGGCGGCGGGTCCCGCCCCTTCGATCGCACCGGAGGAACTTTCTGATCGTTTTCGTTCTCACCGACGATGATCGATTTTCATTTTCACATTTTGCGCTTGGGCGGTTGCACTTTAGGCTACTAATTTCTTTTTTTTTTTTTAATAAACCAGTTCTCGTTTTACATTAAATCTTCATCTTTGGTCTAATGACTTTTCTAACATGCAAATGCGTGGTACAGTAGAACCCCCTGAATATGGAATTAGAAGAGGATTGGAAGGCGAGACACGCTCTTTTCAAATGACTTCCTCATGCGAAATGCTAATGCAAGGGGAGATCTTTACTACCATCTTCAAGAAAGAGATTCCATTTCCTTGTCGCAAGAATCCCCTCCCCTCCCCCCACTTCTTCCCTATTATGTCATTCAAGCTGTTGAGACCCTCACGCTTCTTCAACGTTACTTCCTTTCATTGCTCAATACCAGAATATAGTTCACTGCTCCTTTCGGGATGTACTTTTCCTCCAGTTTTACTACTGGTTCTCTTGCAGTACTTTCTTACGTGCTTACGCAGTTATCCTCGGTACCTTTCACACCTCGCCCTTCCTCACGCACAATAAATACATTTGGCGCCATAAATTCCACACTTACCAACGACATAAGCCTTTTCTTCCACAACTCAGCATTGAAGTACGGTCGGTTCACCTGTTCCGTCATACTTATTTCTTGCAATTGCGTTTCTATTTTTTTTTTCATCTATTCGCCCTACGGTCACAGTTCTGTATGTTACTCTCTCAGCGACTCGTGTGCTCATGTTTATATAGCGAACATTAGTCAGCAAGCACTTGAATGATTTTCAAATGTACTTGGAGCCTATTCCTTAGTCAACGCTCCGGCATTTACATATTTCGTTTCCTGACTCAATTTTTGTTTCATCTTCTCTATACGCGTGCAGGTGTCGAAGAAGATGAGGACTTGGTGCGTGGGCGTCTCAGCGGTGACCGTCCTCTTCCTAGGTGAGACAAGACGACCGATAAAGCACGACAACAAAGGACAACAGGAAGAATATCGACCGATGAGCAGTGAACAGAAACTTGACCTTTTACCTGTTCTTCGCCACGGGTGTCAACCCCGGAGAGTGACGTGACGCACGGGACATTATCCTCCTAAAGAAACTTACACTTCCGACTGATACGTATATAAGGAGAGAAGGGAAGATGACCGTGCATATTGAGAAGGGGGGACTTTCTCTCTCATTCCCTTTTGATCTCCCTTCCGGACCGAAGGGATTATTTCCGCCCATTACCGTCGTTATACTCCTCTATCGTGGAATGTCTCTCCGTGCCAAGAACATTCCATGCCTCTCCCTAGGGCACAAGGAAGTTCTTTTCCCGTCACGTCTTAAGCGGTGACCTCCATGAGGCTTACTTGTTTCATCGCGTGAATTTTTTTTGCAGACGACGCGACTTGACCGTGACTGAGACCATGACTGCCTTCTAATCCAGGGCATCAAGTTTCATTTTTGCATGGATATTTTCAAGAGATTATTGGGAAAAATGATTATTCTACATGTGTTCGTTCTTCCATTGTAGCTGTGGCATACGTCAGTTCAGGACCGACGTTGCACAGAGTGAGTTTTTTTTCTTCCACTACTTTTATTAATGATAAAGTGATACCATAATCTGGACGTGCAGGAAATCAATCTTAAGTAAGCTTAATGTAAAAGTTTTTCATATTTTTCCATTTCCCATTTAACGTCTTGCATTAACGTACACCTCGATTCATTCAGACACTATTATTTCTCAAGACTTAAGATTTATCCTTTTTTTTTTACCTAATTTTCCAGCTAATTACATGTTTGTTTCCCTTTGTCTGTTTCTTCTCATCCCCTTCCCACCATCACACCACAAACGGACACGCACATTCAAATCTAGGCGAAGCGATGGGAGGAGTTCCCGAACGTGACCTTCACGTTCGACTGCTCGGGTCGATCACTGGGATTCTACGCTGATACGGAGTTCAACTGCCAGATCTTCCACTTGTGCGATGCGGACGGACGCCGAATCCCGTACATCTGCGCCAATGAAACCGGCTTCAACCAGCAATACCGCGTCTGCGACTGGGCTTACAATTTCGATTGCAACGAAGCTCCCACTTGGTACTACTTGAACGACCTCACCTACGTCACCGATCCCCCTAAGGTTAAGGTCTAGGTCGGAGGGAAACGAAATTCCGCCCTCGACTGTGATTTCGGTCCGATGAAAGTAACCTTTCCACTTTTTCACGTCTTTCAAAATTTTCCGGAAATCAAAAAATGTTTTGTTTTATTTTTTCTCCCTTCGGATCTCAACTTCTTGCCGTTCTTTCCCTCAGAGCTGGTCTCTCCCTTCCGTTTCTTCAATTGATAGTACATACCTCCAGAACACGTGCGCCTGTTTGTATTCGTGTCGGTGTGTTACCATAGCCGTACGACGTGCCATTTTTCGTCAGTTACCACGCACGAGCCTATTCCCCCTCCCTTTCCCCTGTTGTTTTCGGACTGGGCAAACGATAATGTTGTGGTGAATGTATGCGTTCCTATGGTTCCTCATTTGAGGCCTCGGTTCATGTGAATGGAAAGATATTTTTTGGCCTGTCGTTCAGTCCTGTTTCATTTGACGAATTTCCCTTTCTCAATCAAATCAGCCTGCTCGCAAGCAAACCGTGGCATACGACAATATTATTTTTTTCCCACTGACCATTTTCGCCAGCAAATTCAAGAACTTATCCATTAGATCACTTTCACTTTTACTTTCCAACGGTTTCTCGGAAGAGAACCTACCAAAAATAGCTTACATTCTTCACCCCAAGGAGATCTTTGCATAGCAAAAGTCGCCTAGATCACATTCACGTAAAGAGACCACCTGAAACTTCACCTCTAAAATGTCCTAGAACGACTCCTCAGAGTGTGAGATTTTGTAAGCTGGCGGTAAGGATCAATGCTGGAAATGCAAAGAAAAGAGAGAATTGGGAAAGTTCATTAAGGATTCAAGGGAAGTCCACCAGGTCAGAGGTGAAGGCTGACCATAGAGAGAGGGAGAGACTCATCCTTTTATATATGGTCGGCCTCGTCTCTTTGCATACTCACTTGAGTTGCACAATCGATTTCAATGGAGTCCCATCCTCTCTCCTTCGACGGAGACAGTTCATGAATCTATGGATATGCTGATGGAGACGTGTACGTGTACATCTCCCAGATAGCATCCAGGAGACAGGACTTAAAAGGCTTCTGGCGTTTTATGGACTGGAAGTCCCTGAATACGCATAGGATGCATGCAAATGAAGGAGGAAATGGCCAAACCGGACGCTCCATGAGGTCACGGGGATGCTGCAACTTTTATTGGTACTTTCAGCGAGCTGGGCGTAGGGCAATCTGATAACGTTTTATGCGCCACAGCTGTCTTACAGCCTTTCTTTACGATTACAACTTGAGCCGCATTGATTGACCCTCTCGCTGCTGTGAAATATCCCTGAAGGCAAGTGAATGCTACGAGTTTAGGAAGACAGCTTCCCAGGATTGAAAAAAAGGCAGCTTGTCGCCGAGAAAAGTCTGTCTCGTCTGAACTATGAAAAAGAAATCATTAAAATGTTATGGAAATTTCCGTGAAATGCAGCATGTGCACAAATGGACTCGATCATCACTGCTGAAAATGCGTACCAACCAGGAAGACCCATTACTTTCTCGAAAGTAAATTATTCTTAGGTAACAGGCAGCGAAATGTCCGGAAGCAATCGCTCATACAGAGCTCATCTTCATGATCCGCACGGATTATTATCACAAATGATATTTCGCTCACCGTCAACCCAACCTATGGAACAATAGAATTAGTTGAACTTTCACATAATTCTATTTCCCCCCGATCCTTATCATCAAGGAACGAAGACAAGCCGGAAAGAAACGAAATGAATTTCACAACAAGAGAATTGATAACAGAGGTCAAGATGAATGGCTACCACGAAGGAATCGCTTTTGATCTCTCTTCCAAGGATCAATAAATTCCAGTCAGATCTCAGAAACCAGGAAAGATAAAATACAAACATTGAAAATGTTTCTCGAACTTATGGAATGCTGGGAGGACGTCAGGAACTCTCTCGGCCCTCGGCTCTGGATTTCAAATGCTTAATAACGGAAAACGACGGCGTTTTCTAATCTCCATCTCCATCTCGCATGAATTCTTCGATTTGAATTAGGGAATCAGACTTTCGATGGTATGAGACAGATTACAACTGCGTACATTAACACCCTAAAGGAATAGTCCACGTTGTCAGAGCCAGCATGTAAAAAAATTCATTGAAGAGAAAACGAGGCAACCGAAAGAGCGAGAAAAACTCTCCCGTAATCTTCTTAGGATCTAAGCATGTTCTACTTCAAACTATGAATCCCTTGAACGACTTATAATTGTCCGTGGAAAATCCTTTCGACTACTTTCGTTAAATCCATCCATCAAAAACTGGATAAGGCTCAAGCTATTCAACACAAAGAAATGGACTCTTCATTTCACCAGGTATATTCTGCTCCAACAGCGACCACCTTAAGGACGCCGTCATTCTTCCACAGCACACTCCTAATATAGACATATTATATGCAGACTTAATATGCAGTGAAATGAAAGGAGGGGAATGCACGAGAATACTGATCACTAAATAGTGACGGGAAAAATGATGAATTGATGTTGCCAATGTTCCGGTACTCTCTCAATCCATTACCTTGCCTGGGATCACAGTGACAGCTCGTGCGTACTATACATGGTATCCTTTGCGACGAAATGGTGAAATGGAAAACACTCCCATCTAGGCATGGTTCCAAAATAAATATTTTTTTTTTCACGTACCGATGCAACTCGGGTTGAAATGCCGCTGAAGACAATATGACGTTTTCTTGACTCGCCTCTCGATCTTCTTCACCTATTTATAGGCAACAAGGAAAGACGTCCCGAAGTATTTCCTCATCACGACGGGGATACTCCTTGGCTAGTAAGTCTACACAATGGAGCCCACAGCCAGACAAGATCCGAACATAATGAGAAGTCTCCAAATCCCATTTTTCAACATCCAGCTAAAGAAAGTCACCCCCCATACTCTCGTGAAAAAGTGAGCTCCAGTGCAAGCGACAGAAGAGCCTACGCCAGCGGGGAAGGTCGATTTCGTTCAACAGGATGACAAATGGAGACTCACGTACAATACGGAAACTGAGTGCGTGTTGAGGCCTCATCCTGTCGCCTTAAATCCACCAAAAAAAAAAGAATGAAACCAGCCCCACCTGAATGACGTTCTTTAGAATGATATCGCGTCAATATTTCCACGCGATGAAACATCGACACAACTTCGAAACGATAAGAATCAGAAAAATATTTTCGACTATTAAATGACTGTCACGCATCTTATAATTCTACTTCCCCTGACAAAGTTGTTCAATGTAAACGGAATGCTACCCTCAGCGAAGGGAATTTCTACGCTCGGGAAATCAGGTAACATGTTGCAACAAAGTGAGCGGAAAGAACTTAACTAGGTGAACTGTGGCTTCTCTCCACGGAGGACCAGGTCCATTCGTCTTTTTTGAAGCCAACCTTCAATCAAGGGAATCGCGATAATCGGCAGGCTGAAACCGTTAGCGATAAAAAAAAAGGACCACGAGCCATGAAATGAAGTTACTTGAGAAAAAATATAACTTCGCGCGGAAAATTTGCAAGATAAAAGGAAAATCAAAATTTAAAAATTCACTTGATTGATCTGGTGGATCAGCCTAAACTTAAAAGTTAGATCATTTTGAAAAATTGTATTACGTATGCTGCAGAGGTGAAAGATTCTGAGGGTACAATACGATGACATGGACGTTATTGCTATTTATTCGGGTATTATTGTGTTTTGAACTGCTTCCTCTGAAGAAATGTCGATATTTTCTCGTGTAGATACTTGTCACGTCGATGCACTATCGTGTCGATCTTTTGTCGTTTCGGTGTTTTGACATGAAACCCCTGAGTAAACGTCGCTAGAAAATGATGCGGTCAACGCGACTCGTCCCAGAGCTGTGATGTAAACTAAGCATGTCTATCCCAACAAGTGGACAAAGTAAAAGTCTTACTTGCCTGGAGTAGTAACGGTCACTGTCTTCGCACCTAATGTTTGGATTCTCTTCAAGCAAATAAAAAAACGAAGTTTCATCACTACCACCTGCAAGTACATACGCTAACTTTGCCAGAGAAAACTGCCCTTGGGTGGACAATTTGGATAAGTTACGTAAATGGCATCAAGTTTCACAGAAGCTGACTCACGCAAGCAACTAGCGTACTCAAACTATTCCCGTCCCTTCTGTTTTAACTTCCATCGATGACTTAGCAGGGGAAGCGAATCCTTAATGCGAATCGTAGGCAAGTCATGGGTTTACTCCTCAATCTCATCGGGAGATAGGCAATTGCTTTTGGATTGCACATCGGGAGTTGGGCCGCTCGTGATTAAGCCATCGGCTTGAAACAATGATTGCGTCCCTGATTCCCTTCTCCCTCACTTGGCCTGAAAGATCGAGTTACGTCAGGGAAGCGATTATCTTTCATTAGCAAAGGGCAAATAAGATAAATACTTCCCGAGGTGATAGGGAGAATGCAATAGAGCAATTTCTACTAGCTACTTTCATTAGATCTATTCACTGTGAAATATCAAAATACCCCAGTTTCATGTTTACTATGTATTGTGACATGCAAGAGGTGCTGCATAATAGATGCTTCCCCCCTTCCCTCCTGGAGCCTACCGCGAATAACGTGGATCGATTTTGAAAGCTTTCTGAGAAAGGGCAGTATTACGCAATATTTTTCGTAGCATTTTACACTGATTCACAAAATGGAAGCTGCCCTGAGTAACAAAACACGGTTATGGATCAAACAGTGAGCAATGAGTACGAATTACAAAATTTCCGAAGGTGCAGAAGAAACCTATATTTAAAATAAAAAAGGGGAGACTGCAGACAAATTGAAAAAAAATATATATTAAGGTTGGGTGAAACAGAAGCCTCACAGGCGTGCGGTTCAACCATCCCTTATTCAATGCGCTGGGGGAGCGTAGTTTCGAACGTTTGTTCATGATGGAAATTAAGTCCTTTATTCTAATAAATTTCAATGTAAGGCAAGACCAGGGGCTCCTTCCCAAGGCAAAGCTAGAGAGCCTCGAAAACAAGAGTTTTGCAGATTTTCACTTCTACATGTCTTTACATAAGGAGATGAATATGATGGAGAAAAGACTGAAAAAGTGTTTTGTCTTGAAATTTCAATAATCACAATTCGTGGAGCGAAATAAACCTTAAAAAAAAACATAACAAAACAAGATATTAGCACGAAATGAATTCCTATTCCTAGAAAATCATTTTTCATGAAAAAAAAAAAAAGGTGCAAGATACGTTTGCAATAAATACACTTGAAATACAGCCCCGTGAGGCAACTTATACCATAGACTTCGTGTGGAACGAGGTTTTTCCTTGACTCCTTACGCAACACCTACCCATGTTTTTTTTTTGTTTGCGGAGATTTAGGGGCTGCAGGATGAGGCCTCAGCACGCATCTCACTTCTTCGTCTCTTACGGCCGGGGAGGCAGAATATTTTGCAAGAAG